ATATATATATATATATATATATATATATATATATATATATATATATATATATGTATATGTATATATATATGTATGTATATATATATATATATATATAATATATTTACACTATATATACTATATATAAAACATATATAACAAACTAAATCGCTGCTGTGAGCAAGTCAAAGCCTACAGCTTCAACAGCAGAAACAAAAATAAAAACAAAAACAAAAACAAAAACAAAAACAAAAATAAAAACTAAAGAAAAAGTTTTCCGTCATCTGAACAGCCAAATGCCCAGCTAGCTAGCCATACAGGCAGCTAGCCAGCAACACAACTAGCTAGCTACCTAGCTAGCTAGCCAGCAACACAACTAGCTAGCTAGCTAGCTAGCTAGCTAGCTAGGTGGCCACTAGGCTCGCGTAGCTAGCTGTGGCAGCTAGCTGGCCGAGGTAGCTAGCTGCAGGCGAAACCTAGCTAGCCAGCACGAGCTAGCTGCACTGCGGTCTACCCAGCTAGCCACAGCGAAGCGGAGCTAGCCATATACAGATCAATGTATCTAGCTATAAAAACAGCTAGCTACCTACCTAGCTAGCTAGCTAGCTGGCTAGCTAGCTAGCTAGCTAGTTGGCTAGCTAGCTGTCTAGCTAGCTAGCTAGCTAGCTGGCTAGCTAGCCATCAACACCGCAAGAGGTCTCGTACGTCTGCCCAGACATCTGTATCCTTCAGCCCTGAGAGCAACACCCGCTCAGGTGTATAGGCAGCTCTATCTTTTCTGTTTAAGGTGTATACTCAATGTAATATTTTTTAGGGTTTACATAGAGAAGGGTTTGGTGGATAGTTGCAGTCTAAAGGAGCGTAGCAGCTCTGATGGTTTAGGGTTTTCAAGGGTTTAGGGTTTTTAAGGGTTTAGGGTTTAGGGTTTTTAAGGGTTTAGGGTTTAGGGTTTAGGGTGTATGCGTACCACTGTCTATCATTTGTTTGAGCGAAGGGTTTGCTGCTGCAGCTCTGACCCTTTCTTTGTCGTTGAGTTGTTTGTTTATGGAAGCAGCAGAAGCATGCGAGCCCGGTATTATAGAAACCTGAATTGCTGCTGCTGCTGTTGCTGCTGCTGCTGCTGCTGCACGCTGCGCCTTCACAAGCAGCAGCAAACCTATTAGTGTTGCCTACACACAAACCCACCACAACCAGCAGCAGCAGCATGTACAGCAGCAGCAGCAGCAGCAGCAGCGGCAGGAGCAGCAGCAGCAGCAGCAGCAGCAGCAGATGCAGCAACGAAACCGGCAGAATGCGTAGCAGCAACAGCAGCAGCTCAGATGATATTCAAGTAGAAATGGGGGGGGCCTCAGGTGTATAAACA